CATAAAGTAAACACACAGCTTATATATGTATTAAGTTTATAAAATAATGTTTCACGACAGTTTTTTTTTTTTTTTTTTTAAATTGGTTTATAAGCCAGGCAGTGCTGGCACATACCTTTAATCCCAGAACTCAGGAGGTAGAGGCAGGTGAATCTCTGAGTTAAGGCCAGCCTGGTCTACTGAATGAGTTCCAGGACAGCCGGGGCTACACAGAATGGATGGGTGGGTGGGTGGGTAGATAGATAGATTTGTATGTATGTGAGTGTGTGGGTGTATACATGAATACTATGTTTGTGCCTGGTGCCATCAGAGGGCATGGGATCCCATAGAACTGATGTTACAAGTGCCTGTGAACCTCTGTGGGTGCTAAGAACAATCCAGGTAACTCTGTAAGAACAACAAATGTTCTAAACCGATGAGACATTTCAAATCTAAGTATTTAATCTGGGATCCCTAAATAAGAGAGAATGTACAGTGCTTGTCTTTCCAGGTCTGATTTTCCTCACTTAAGACAGTATCTTCCAGATTCATCCATCATCTACATGTTTCATCTTTCTTCATGGCTGAATAGAATTTGTTATTTATTCACTGATGATTATCTCAGCTGCTTCCAATTCCTAGATATTGTGAATATATAGGTGGTAAACTGACAAAATATCTCTTTAGTATCAAGTCCTTTGGACATATGCCAAGAAGTGGCAGAGCTGGGTCATATGTGGATCTGTTTTTAGCTTGTTAAGAGTTCTCTACAATGAATTTCATAATCAGCAATGAGAATTGGTGAGTGAAAGTTCTCCGTTCTCCACATTCTTGTTTTGTTTTGTTTTGTTTTGTTTTGTTTTGTTTTGTTTTGTTTTGTTTGACACAGGGCTTCTCTGTGAAACGGCTGTGGTTGCCCTGGACTCGTTCGGTAGACCAGCCTTAGGCCAGGCTGGCCTCAAACTCAAAGAAATCCATCCACCTCTGCCTCCCAAGTGCTGGGATTAATGGCATGTGCCACTGCGACTGGCTTTCCCCACATTCTTAACAGAATTTGTTGTCAGTTACTTTCTTGATCTTGACCTTCTAACTGGGCTAAGATGAAATCTCAAAAGATTTTAATTTTTATTTATCTGAATGCTTAGGATGTTGAACCCATTTTAAATTTCTTCTTTTCAAAATTCTCTTTTTAGATCCATACCTAGTTTTTCCTTGGCTTACTTTCTTTATGTGGTTTCTGAGTTCTGGATATATTCTGAATGTTAGGAACCACTGTCTGATTCCTAAGGCTTCACCTGGTCAGTAATTCATCTGGCCATGCTTGATTGGCCTGTAGGAGGGGCTGTGGTTGTTTCTAGAGCGATAACTTGCCTTGATTTATTAAAGTGTTTACTTCAACTAGTTTTAAAATTATAATATCTACAAAACATAGGTTCTGGGATTTTTAATTGGCTTTAGCAAGAAACTTAACGTCTACAATTGGAGTATTTAGATAAGTTTTTTTATGTAGTATCTATCCTCAGAAGACGAAAAGTCAATGAAATCATTCTAGTTCAACTTGACTTTCATGTTTATAATCTCTGCATTAAATGCGTTCTTAGTTAGCAGCTCCCTTGTGTATCCACAAAGAGTTATATATACATTTGTGTTCATATGCATAACTATGTGCTTCCTCAAAGAAATGTATAAGTTCAAAATAGTAACAATGAAAGCGTGTTATAAAAGTAAAGAGAAGAAATGAATGGGGGCTTTGTCAAGAGGTAATTGTCACTAACAAATATATATAGAAAGGCTTTTCTGAGATAATTTTGTTAGACATATTCCACCAAACAGAAGGAAACTATGAAGTGAGGTTCTTCCCCTTTTCAATTTAGAGCTTCAGATAATCAACTCAGTGATACTTCTTTCCTGTAATATCCTAATAATTCATTTTAGCAAAGTCCAGAGCAACAGGAAATAGGAATAATGGTTGTTAGGAAGGTTTAGTTTCCCCAGCTGTCCCTTCTTTTACATTGCTTAAGTAAAATCATCCTTAGATAGTGAAGGAGGACAACTGGGAACTTTACTATTGCTTTCATTCCTCTCAGGCTAAAGGAATTTATTCAAGGAAACCGTGGTGCTAAGAAATTAGATAAAGGCTTGCTTTTATTTTGGTTCAATACAGAATATAACCTTTTACTTTTTGTACTATTATCTTTCTTTCATTTGTTTGTTGTCAGACTGGTAAACATAAGTGACCCAAAGACCTTGTTAATGATAGAGCTCTCCAAGTCCCTCAGAGATATTAGCCGAATAGACTTGAGGTATGACTAAGGTATCAAATCCCTCCTTATATGTGGGATTTTTTGATAAGATTAGTTTGATGTTTCATACAAAGAGAGATAAATGGTGTAAAGTTTCTCACTGCCTCTCATCTAAAAGTAATACATTTCCTGAGATTGTAGTGGGTACTAAACTGACTAATTTGTAGAATAATTGTTTTGATAATAACTTGGTCTAGAAGTGCATTAAAGAGCTTAGGTGCCTTCCTATCACACATGAAACTTGAACGCCTGGTGCTTGTCCACCTTGGTAATGCTAAATATTTATATCTTTATAGATTCCTCTCTTCTAGCCATAGTAGATTACTTACTTACTTACTAAGTGCATCTTTGAGGCTTCTGTGCATATATATTCATAATCATCTATCCTTAAATTTTCCTTTGTAACTAGCTGGCTCTTAGTAATTTTTCCCCATTGAAACTGTTCAGTTGTCACAGCTTCTGCTACCACTCTGACCTTTCTCCATTCAATTTCCTACTTAATTACTCTGTCCGCACTGCTGCCACTGAAAAGTGCTTATAATAACAAAAGGAACATATGCTGTATAGGGCAAGCATGGTACCTTATGATCAGCACTTGTGAGTTAGAAGCAAAAGATGAGTCCAGCACTAGCCTTCATACATAGTAAGTTCGAGGTGAGCCTGGACTGTAGCAAACCCTTTTTCCATGGTAAGGGCTTCTTCCCCCACCTCCTTTGATTTTTATTTATTCAGTTTGTTTGTCTGTCTGTTTTTGTGATTATGTTATAATTACAACATTGTTTCGTTTCCTTCTAAATTATATACTATGACCCTTCCTCGCTCTCCTTCAAATTAAAGGCCTTTTTTTTTATTCAGTTGTTTCTACATGTATATGTGTATTTCCAAATACAACCTATTGAGTCCATAGAGTGTTACTTGTATGTTTTCAAAAATGATCATTTGGTACTGGAGAACCAATTTATATGCTTTTCCCTGCTCCCAGCCTCACTCAGTTTCGTGTGGTTTTTGTGCAGGGCTGAGGCCTCATGGACTTGAACTCATGTTTGGCAGTCATGTTGGTGAGACTTCACAGGCAGAGCTTCTGATATTACTAGGAGACACACCTCACCGCAGAGTATAGAGGGGTTCTTACAGGCAGACATGGATATGAATTGTGATAGTCTCTGAGTGTGTGTGAATTTGAATGGTTTTTTAATTAGTCTTTTAAAAATAATTTTATCTGGCTAGGTGGCGGTGTTGCACATCTGTAATCCCGGCATTCAGGAGTCAGAGGCGGGCAGATCTCTTGAGTTTGAGGCCAGCCTGGTCTATAGAGCAAATTTCAGGACAGTCGAAGCTACAGAGAAACCCTGTCTCAAAAATTAATTAGATTAGATTAGATTAGATTAGATTATCATTTTAAATATATGTATTTAGGGGCTGGGGTGTATGCACATGGAGTCCAGAGGATCCCCTAGACCTGGAGTTACAGGCATTTGTGAGCCATCTCTTCAGCCCCCTTTCAGCCTATTACTGTATAACATTGTCAGAAAGAAGATACTAGCTCTAGGCATGGGGCTATGCATCTGTTACCCCTTACTTGGGAAACAGAAGAATCAGGAGTTCAAGGCCAGTCAGTCTTGGCAACATGACAAGTTTGATGTCAGCCTGGACTACATAAGACCCTGCTTTAACAGCACTACCATTACAGAATGGGGGATGGAGGGAATGGGGCAATGTTGGTAGAAAGTTCTTATGGAATGCATATAATTTACTGTTGTTCATTCAAATGTAGATTTCTCTATTCCACTATCTGGTTTCAATCCAGACATTGCATTGTAAGCATCACCTGTCTCAAGTTTGTGTAAACATGCTACCATTTGTTCTCTGTATTGCCAATAAAAACAACCAGCCAGTGATGAGAGATGGAACGAATGGGGTGGGACATCCTGGTCCAGAGGGGAGGAGAGAGGAGTGGGAGGAGAGGACCAGGGAAACTTCAGGAGAAATGAACCAGACCTAAGATATGACTAAAAAGCCAGTATAATGTGGGAAATCTGTGGGAGGAAGCTGCGCAGGCTTGGAGCTTTAGGATGGAGTAATTATTGCCTAGCATTGTGCACTAGGTTAATTAAATAAATCCTAGTCTCTGTGTGGTGATTTTTTTATACAGCTGGTTTAGGAATAAATGCTGTTTAATTAAAAGATAAATCAGTAAGGGCAAGGAAAGAAAAGTTTGATGAGAAGCACCTGACACACACAAGCCCTCAGCAGTGTTTGCCTTTCTGTTGTGATGATGCTTCTGTGGGGTTGTACATATTCACCTCCCAGGACTTAATACAGATCATAATATTGGCATCTCATAGATCCTACTGATTATCTGCTAAGTCCATGAATAAATGATAAATAGATAAGACACATTTGAAAAGTTATCAAAACTAATTTTAAAATTTACATTTGGATGCTATATTTTATGTGAAGCCTATGTATGATAATGAAATTACACATTCAGAAAAAGGTAAACTTTAGAATTCTTGTAGAGAAATAGTGGCTGATATTTTTAAGTTTAATTTAAAATTTTACCTTTATAATAAAAGGCTAATGCACTTTAATAATAAAAATTCATGGTTCAGATGATGTGGTTATCATAGTCAGAATCCAGCAATTTATTAGATATGTGATTGTTTTATACAATAAGCCTCTGATTTGGTAGTAAAATTTTGAAATATTTTTTAACAGCAACAGTTCGTTGAATTGGATGATAATAGACTGAGATTGTTACAGAAGTGCAAGGAACTTATGAAGAGAGCTAGGCAAGTATGTAACCTGAGTGCAGACCAAGCCGTTCCCCAAGAATTTCAGACAGTAAGTATAAAAATATATAATGCTGCATTTGACACAGTATTTTTAAGTTTAAGATACCCTACTCTAAGCATGGAAACAGAACATGAAAACACTAAGTTTTATTTAAAAATACACCTTTCTCCATTTTTATACTGATTATCATATACGTAATATAAACCTTCAGATTTAGTTACCAGTCTTTGCTTAGCATTGAAATTCTTAAAATATAGGAAATATCTTAAAATGACAACATAATATACACTTTTACAATTATAGTCTTTCCCTCTTGACCATCTCTGAGAGGTATAATTGGGAGTATGCGATACCCAAGGAAACTAGTAAGTAATGTGTACTTGACAACAATAAAAGGGGTCATATTTAGAAAAACAAAGGCAAGTGTTTTCTAGATGTTCTGGTGCTTAATCAGGGTTTATCAGTGGCTGGATATTCAGAGCTAATAATCATCTTTCAGTAACATGCTGATACCTCAGAATCCGACTAAGCAATGCTCCCTTTCAGTTCACATTCCACCATTCATTCTGTCCCCTGTGTTCTAGGCTTTAGCTGACATTGAAGCCATTCCTGCATACTATTCAAAGTAAAAGCAAAAGAGTTACAAATGCATTCTTAAATGGTAGTATTTGAATCCTTTTTTAAAATCTTAAATATATAGATGATGAAATGTCCACTGAGCATTGAAAGAGACTAGTGTAGATTTAGTTGTCAAATCCTAGGTTTTATTTTATGTTACCAGACACAGAAAACTGGAATGTGGATTTGATTGGGTACAGAATAAGAATGCAACAGAAATTCATACAACTAATTGAGAAGTGTGTTTCTAAAGAAAATTGTAGAATGCATGTAAAATGTTTGGTTTTAATAAAATATTGATGTGGTATCTATACTATAAGTTACAGTTTTTTTGTGTGCTGGACATGGTTGGCAGTTGCCTGTAATACCAGCACTTGGGAGGTGACTGTAGGATGTTCCCAAGTTCAAGGTCAACCTGGGCTACATATAGAACTAAACTGTTTCCACCCTGCCTTCCCAGAAGTTATGCTCTTTTGAAAGAATAAAGTAAAAAAATAATACATTTATTTAAATATATTGATTGGCTGCTATGACCAAATATTTATTAGGAGAGACATGTTTCTTTCCTCAATGAAACTTCAACTCTAATCTGGAGGATGGACCAAACAACATCGAAATAAGTAGATAATAAGGTCAGGCTAAGAAAAAATAAAGGTGAAGGATAAAGTATCAAGGATATCCACTTAGGGATGGTTCCTTTGAGATGTTACTATTTTAGATAAGTCTTAGATGAAGAGAAGAAATCATTCAAGTAGAGGTGTAAAACAAAATATCTGCTCATACAAAGTTGCTGAGGTGCAGATGTATTTGGCAGGTGATAGAATAGAAGGGATCTTGGTGGGATTAAAAATTACATCCCAGCCTGGCGATGTTGACACATGCCTTTAGTCCCAGAACTCAGGAGGCATAGGCAGACAGAATTCTAAGTCCTGTCTAGGACAGCCAGGGCTATACAGACAAATGCTTGTTTCAAAAACAAAATCAAATTACATTCCAAGCAGAGAAGAAGACATGGGCCAAATTAATATGGCTTTATAGATTACATGAAGTTTGGATTTTTTCCCCCTTTAGTGTTAGAGATTAGGCAAGTACTCCAGCACAAATCTGTATTCCCAGCTCTGGCCCTTTAAGATAGAATCCACTAGAGGATTTTAAACACAAGAATGATGTTATTAAATTCAGTTTATTGATGAATACTCTTAACTGTTCTATGAAGAATAAGACCTATAAGAAAAGAAGCAAGGAAACCACTTTAAGGGTTATTAATTTGCCCATAGAAGAGATTAATGTAGTGTAGCACAAAGGGATGGGGGAAGAAGGGAACTTTACTTCAGGGGTGGATTTGAGAGATGTAAGAGAGAACTCCTAAATGTTTGCCTGAACAAACTGTGAAGCTGGATGAGAAGTTGATTTGCTTATAGTGCTGGGAAAGGTGGATGAGGTAGAAATTATGTTTTATTATCATAAATTTAGTATGCCTCTTAGTGTCTGGTGAAGATAACAAGTAAGTGTTGGAACATAAGCTCACAGCTAAACAGACAAGTAAGAGATGTACATAACGAATACCTGGAGACCTTCACAGAAATTGGACTGTGTTCCAATGGGTTAAAAAGATACAAGTCAAAGTTACCTGATTAACCTATATATGTAACTCATCAGAACCTTTTTAGGGCTTTAGACTTATTACATACCTTTTACTGTAAGGGCTCCACAGGTTGTACTAGGCAAAAAAGTGTACTGTATATCTCTCCTTGTAGGAAAGTGTCTATCCTAATGAGTCTCTGTGGCATAGGTTCAGAAGATAGTCTTGATGAAATTCTGTCTCAGTAATTGAATTCTAAGGATGCTTTTGTAGGTCTTCATAAGTACAGTATAAAGTTCTAACTTCTTGCTCTCTTTCAATGCCCCACATATTCTGGACCCATTCTACCAATTCAGCAAGTACCCACCATTCCAAATGGACACAACTCCTCACCCCCCATGGTAATCAGTACTCATTCTTTTCTCCAAATTGTTATCTCCTTTTTGCATTGCTTTGTCCCTAGCGACTGCTTCAAGACCCAGAGATAAATTATAGGCTTTTGAACTCTTTTAATTCTCATGTAGCATGAACTGACACTTCATTATTTTAAATTCCAAAGTCTATGTAATATGTACTGCTTATTTTAGACTCAGCATCAGTACTGCCTTAAGGTACTGTCCAACATGTATACATTTTGTTTTCTTTTAAAGTGTAAGCTTTTTAAAGGCAAAATGCCCTGTTTAAGATGTAAGCTTTTTAAAGGCAAAATGCCCTCTATATTGCTGTGTGCTAGCATGCTATTAATCAGATAGTAGATACGTAGCAAATTACTTTCTTTTAGCTATTCTGATAAACTTTTCACTATTCCGTTTTTAATGTTACTTTTTTTTTCCTCTTATAGGCTTTTCAAGACCTTCCAAACACATTGGATGAAATTGATGCACTATTAACTGAGGAAAGATCAAGAGCTTCTTGCTTCACAGGACTAAATCCTACAGTATGCCTCTTTTTCTGTTTCTGTCCTACAGCTCTCCCACTGCCACCTTCCCCAGTGCACGCTCGCCCATGCTCGCGCGCGCACGCACACACACGCACACACACACAGCTCTCTCCAGTACTTGCCTCCCACACTGTACTAGAGCTCTGGGTAATAATAAGCTAGACAGCAGGAACAATGCCTTAAATGCCAGATTCTGAATCTATTAGAATTTTAAATAGAGTTTTCCTAAGGAACACAGTGTTCTGTGCCTTTTCTTTATAAAAAGAATAGTTGAGTTAACTTAAAATGCAGCAGTGTGTATTATTTTTTTCAAGGATTAAAAAGTAGCACTTTCACTACGTAATAGCATTAATTAATTGCATACAGACAATGCAGTGCAGTTGGCATTTTGAGCTAATAGTTGGTGCAATTTTTTATATAATTTTATCCTTTGATAAGTTTGTCTTAATTTTCTTTGACCAGGTAGTTGAGGAGTACACAAAAAGAGAAGTAGAAATTCAGCAGTTAACTGAAGAACTGAAGGGAAAGAAAGTTGAGCTAGATGAATACAGGGAGAACATTTCACAGGTAATTTTTATTCCTTTCTTATATGTTTACCATTAATGGGATAAGCATATAAATTTTGCACTCCTGAGAGAAAAAGTATTTTTATGATCAAATTGACTCTGATATGAAATTTGTTCTGTATAAAGTTTTATATTAAAATGAATAGTACTGCCTTCAGTTTGTGGTTTTGTTTTGTCTCTTATTTGTAGGTGAAAGAAAGGTGGCTAAACCCTTTAAAGGAGCTAGTGGAAAAAATCAATGAGAAATTTAGCCACTTTTTTAGTTCCATGCAGTGTGCTGGTGAAGTTGATCTTCATACAGAAAATGAGGTAAATGCATTTGGGATATATTTTAATTACATGTAAAGGGTACATGTAAATTGCTTACTTTGGAATTCTACATGAAATTTTGTTTACTGAAAAATTGTGAAAAGGAAGGAAAAGACCACCTATGGGTTTCCACCATCAGGTTTGCGTGGTTTGGAAGTCAGAGTGAGGCTAAGTGGCTGGTGTTTCTATCTCTGCTGGATTGAATGAGTGCTGTATAAATCCACTTCTCAACGTAAGAGCCATAAGCAAATTAACAGCCACGACTAAAAGATAGTTCATGTAGTTCATGTCAGCGAGGTGGAGTTTGGTGTGTACATGTTGGACAGTACCTTAAGGCAGTGCTGATGCTGAGTCTAAAATAGGCAGTACATATTACATAGACTTTGGGGTTCGTACATAGACAGTAGTGTTGGTGGGTCTCTATAGCCTAGACTACCCTAGAACTTGTGATACTGCCAAAGATGACATTGAACTCTGCTGACACTCTTGCCTCTCTCTCCCAACTAAGATTAAAATGCCTTCCACAACTATGTTGTTTCTTTAAGTTTATTTATCACAGATTTAGGAAATAATAGGAAATACGCTAATTTCTTGATCACTGTTCTTTTGGATGGACCAAATTTTCCATTAAAATTGTGTAAAGAAGAGCCGGAAGTAGAGTGAAATGATTGTGTGTGCTCAGCTGCATGAGCCCCTGGGTTCAGTTCCCAGAACTCTAAGCAGGTGAGGGAGGGAAAAAGAACTGACTGGATTTCTGTGAAAATAATTGAGAAAATGGAATAAATTCTGGTAGGAGTGTACGTGACAAAAGGCTGGTAATCTTTTGATCTTAGTTAAAACTTTTTACTGGTGCACTGAGGTCATTTTTGTATTCTCATTTGCATGTGTCAAAATGTTTCTAAGATGAAATTTGTTTTAAATAAAAGTCATTAATAATATTTTTATGAGGCAGAGGCAGGCATATCTTTGTGAATTTGAGGCCAGCCTTGTCTACAATGTGAGTCCAGGACAACCAAGGCTACACAGAGAAACCCTGTCCAAAATAAAAAAAAAGAAAAGAATTTTCATATCTTAAAATTTTATATCTTTGAATTTTAGCAAGTATGTAAGTTTTCATTTTGTTACATTTATAGCACCTTTTTCTCCTTTGAGGGGTTTTGTCTCACAGCTCCCCTCTGCTTCATGTGAAGCACATGTGTGAAATAGCATTTCATTAAGACCTAGATTTGAGGATAGATCTTTTCGTAGCATTTTACCACACAGTTCTTATCTTACTATAACAATGTACTGTAAGAAATGTATGTACAATGTATGTATGTACATATGCTTGTACATATGTACATACTTGTATGTATGTACATATGCTTGTACATATGTACATACTTGTATGTATGTACATATGTACATAAATGTATGTACAATGCTTAACTTCCAATATGCTCCCTTTGTGCCAGGCACTAAAGTTTATCTTGTTTAATCTCTTTTAAGTTCCTGCTTCATAGGATAGTTATTTAATCTACCCTACTTTAAAAAACAAACTGAAACGATAATTTTACTGACGGTCACATTGCTATCAAGTGGCAAAGAATCAAACTTTTTATCTAATCCCAGACAGAGTCTAAACTCTTAGATAAATTTGATTACTGGGAACATCAACTGCTCAAAGTAACAACATGATCTTTATCAGGGTTTTGACTGTGTGGAGTATAACTGTGATCCAGTAAGCAAGGTGAGGTCTCTGTCACAAAAACCCATCCTTTACATCTGTCTCCTGCTGCTCCTCCGAACTTGTACTGTTCTTCTCCACAGTTTTCAGTGCACTGCTGTAGAAAAGCTCCTCCTGCCTTTCAGTCTGTTCTTGTGGACCTTTCCCTTTGTCCCCTTTCTGATTCACCCTCCTTAGTAGAGGGCCTAGAGCTGATTTCTTTAACCCAAGCCTTCAATAAGATTGAAGAAGATAGGATGAGGCAAAAAAAAAAAAAAAAAAAAAAAGAGGATGTCAACAACAATGAAGAAATGCAGTTTACAAGTAACCCTTTGGAAGTTAAAACTTACAAATTCCAGTTCTGTCACTTGTTTACTTGGGGATTCTGAAGGGGAAGGTGAACAGGTTAAAGGTACTATGTGTTAATATTTTTTAAGGCCTACTTGAATCCTTTTGTATTTATGCTTGAGGCGGCTTATGGTCTGTGAAAGGAAGTTCTTGCTTTTGACATTCTTAGAAAGAATGTGGACTTGACTCACCGTTGAGGTGGCATCCCCGTGAACCTGCCCATTCCACTGACATTCTGAGCTATTTCATCCATAAGTAATTACCACACCTTTTTAATAATTAACTGATGATACCCAAATTAAAATAATAAATAAAGCACTTTTTGTTGCTCTTAGACCTCTGCTATGAATGCATACTATATACATATCATTTCAAAGATTGAAAAAATTAAAATATTCATTGATGATTTTTATTGTATTATTGTGATGTTAAAATGATATTTTAAATATATTGGATTAAATATACCATTGAAGTTGATTTTACCTATGTGACTGTTGAATTGCCTGTTTCTTGTATTATGTCTCTCTTGATTAGACACTTATCTTAGACCATTTAACTAGTAATGTTAGATACTTTACTTTTAAGGTAAATCTAAATCTGAATGACCTGGAGTGGCTAAAATAAGTAAATAAACCTTAAGCGTCATCTCAGGTTTGGTGAAAGTTATAGAACACCAAATAGACTCCTTTTTATATAATAAAGTTTACATTTGTTTGTATATACACACATGGAGGCACTTGGGGGCTAGTGAAATTTTTAAGTAGTAGTTCTTTAAGTTGTTTTCTTTTATGATTGATTTGCTATATCTGATAAATTTTCAAATATTGAATGAAATTATCATAGAAACCACTCATTTTTTAACATTTTGTGTTTTACAGGAAGATTATGATAAATATGGAATCCGAATTAGAGTAAAATTTCGCAGTAGTACTCAGCTACATGAATTAACTCCTCATCATCAAAGTGGAGGTGAAAGAAGTGTTTCTACCATGTTGTACTTGATGGCACTTCAGGAGCTTAATCGATGTCCATTCAGAGTAGTTGATGAGATTAATCAGGTATAGTGATTCTTCTTGGGGAACATACTACATCCTCTAATAAATACAAATGTGATGATTATTGTTATTATGGTTTTAGGGTATGGACCCAATCAATGAGCGAAGAGTGTTTGAAATGGTTGTGAACACTGCCTGTAAAGAGAATACATCCCAGTACTTCTTCATCACACCAAAGGTGAGTAGTGGGTAGGCTCACCGAAGCCATGTGCTTAGATGTCCCCCTGTATCTCAGTTATTGAGCAGATTTGGGATGAGATGTAAATATGAGCAGGAATACTCCCCAAAAAAGAAGCTAAAGAGATTATATATATATATAGTGCCAGGCATGCGATACACACCTGTAATACTAGCACTTGGAGAGGCAGAGGCAGGCAGATCTCTGTGAGTTTGAGGCCAGCCTGATCTACAAAGTAGGTCCAGGACAGCCAAAAAAGGGGGGGGGGTGGTTATAGTAATGCTTATATTCATAGAAGGGACAAGTTCCAGTGACATACTTAGTCAGAAGCATCATCTAAGCAAGCGGGGAAGGAAGCATGTCATTAGACCTCCTACCTGCTTTTGATAGTCATTCTCCTTCTAGAAAAAGTTCCTCCTTTTTTCTAAGAGCCAACTGGGAATGCAGATCCCCAGACTCTAGCCCTCTCTGTCATGTCACACACTGCTCCTGTCTTTATCCCCCACTGCCACTACCCTAGCCCTAACTACCCAATGTTTTGTACTGACAGATAAGCTTTTGTAATAATATAGTTATTTTCATAGAGAATTTTCCATAATCTAGAACTATTGCAATGGGAAGTATTCTTTTGTTAAATCTAGTGCTGTGGGTAAGTTCCCAAGTGAATATACTCAGACGTGTTTGCTAATAATCAGACTTTTTCCTTCTTCAACTAAATATTCCTAAGTATCTCAAACTACAGTCTGTCACAGTGCTTAGCCATTGACGTTTGAGGGGTGTTTTTGATAGAAATGAAAGTGGATACTACTGTATAGTCCTTGTTGACTTGTGAATACAGAGGATTCCCAGGCAGCTGGACTATTCCAGGGCAGTTATTAGGCCAGACTTCAGATAGGCTTATGCAGGGAGCTCTTATAGTCTGGCAAGGTGATGTATTAGAATGTGTCTAAGCCTGGAAAACTGTCTTTCTCAGTATATACTTTAATTATGTGGCAATTTGTTTTTATCTTTACAGCTTCTACAAAATCTTCCTTATTCTGAAAAGATGACAGTATTGTTTGTCTACAATGGTCCTCATATGCTGGAACCAAACCGATGGAATTTAAAGGCTTTTCAAAGGCGACGTCGAAGAATTACCTTCACTCATCCTTCTCAGTGAAAGAAAAGGAAGGGGACTTCAGAGGTTTTTCATTTTTAAACTGTTTATACGTGTGGCTCAAGTGAATAAAACTTAGCAGATTTATTGAAAGAGAAAGATTGGTTATTTTTGGAAAACTGCTTTTAAAAACAAATAGGTTGATGAAGTGGAGACCACAGTGACTCTCGAACATTTTTAAGTCTTCAGTTTGGGTTGAACCTGGTCGTGAATCCTCTGTGAGAACTAGATTATTGTGTGTAGTTGTATGCTGCCCCCACAGGTGTGGTGGTACATCTAACCAGCACTTAGGAAGTGGAGATGGGAAGAACATGAGGTTGGCAAATCCAAAGTGCTACAGAGTGGGATCGTATGTCCTAACAAAAAAGTTGTTTCCTGTTGCCGATCAGAGGTATGAAAGCATGGGAATTTCATTTACATTCTATCATGCCTGAGTGTTGATTGCAGAACTTTCTTTTAGAGCTTAAAGGCAACACAAAATTAGAAATCCCACTTTTCTTCCAGTACTATATTTAGTTTTTAAAAACCAATATGGGAATGTCTATTTAATATATTAGTGGTTTATGGCAAATTCATTCATTTCTTTGTGTTAAAAAGGTGTACCTTATTTTCACAGAAAACACATTTATGGGCATTTAAAGTTTTAGGCAACATGATTCTATAATTTTCTTGGTATTTCAAGAATTGGGGAAAATGCACATGGGGCTTAAAAATGGTAGCAGGACTTAGAGAGGTCACGAGGTAAAGAGGATACATTGGCAGAATGAAATCAGGTGACAATAGTTCAAAGGATACCATTGTAAAGTTTTATGGTGGGGTTTCTTGTTCTGTTTTGGGTTTTTTGTTTTTTGTTTTTTAATTTAAAGTCAAATATATTTTACATTTTAAATTTCTAAAATGTTTTTTATAATTTTAGTAAGATTTTTCTTAAGATTTCATATACGAGTTTTTACACTTTGTATTTGAAATTTCTCAGTGCTGTGTAACGAGTGATGGCAAAAGTATTGATTTGTTTAAAATCATAATGTTTTTAGAATTTGTAGGTCCTTCCTTACAGTATTGGTCACACTCAGTATTTTAGAAAATTCTCATTTAAATTCTTTTCTTCCAGCTTGAAAACAAAACTATTTTTTCTGAGCATGCTAATAACAGTGCCAAATAAACTCTGTTCTTTTAAAAACTAAATCCTACAAGAAAATAGAAATGTCTTTGGAGAATGGACTGGAGCATATCTTTGCTGATACTGACAAAATTATTTTCTTGGCTTGCTAGCCTGAATAAAGTTCAGGTTTTTTATATTATTGCAATAGCCAATGAGATTTACATTCTTATTGGCTTAAAAATAATGGAACATGAGTTTATGTCATCTCACTTAGACATTTTCTCTTTTAATAGTTGTATTTGTTTTTTAAACTTGTAAGAGAGCTCTCACCTCTTAAACTAAGTCTCATACATGTAGTACAAAGATATTTTTAATAACATTTTTACCAGCATGAAAAAGTCAAAAATTTTTTGAAACTTGGAAGCATATTAGTGAAGGGTGTTACTACACATTTGTGTTGTTGCTTGGGTTTCTGATATAAAATCTTCACTAATGTGTGCTTGATATAGTTTGGTTTTATCATACCAGTGTAAAAACAAAAACAAAACATACTTAAAACTCACAGTAGCAATTCTATTTCAGTTTACATATGTCAAAAATGATTCCATATCATGCTTATAAGCCTTCAGTGAGCAAAATTAATGTTCTGTTTTATATTGAACTTTGGGCTGGGAAGGATAAATTATGTATCATTTATCACTTTAAAAATAGTCAAACATAGTGTGATGTCATGTTTTCTGCAACTGTTGATTTTTTTTAAATTACATTCAGATTGTAAAAATTCCAAGTAAAAGTTTGATTTGATAAATAAAATATTTAAAACCTGAGGTTGCAAATATTTTTAATGACTAAATCTTTACATTGACTTGCCTAAGGATGGTCTCTGTTAGGTCTCTCATTCAAAAAAAAAAGGATTTGTTTTCTGTAATATTTATTTATTTTATGTGAATAGTTGTTTTGCCTGCATGTATGTCTATATACCACATGTGTGCCTGGGGCTTATTAAGACCAAAAGAGATCATCAGATCCCCTGGGACTGGAGTTAAAGACAGTTGTAAGCTGCTATCTAGGTGTAGGGAATAGAAACTGGGTCCTCTAGAAGAGTGGCCACTAGTCTTAACCACCGAACCTTCTCTCTCCAGCCCCGAAGCTGCTTTCCAGTAGCCTTAGACATAACCATGTAGCACGTGAGGGGCATCGTCTCCTTCTGATGTGTGTAAATGTAATTGATTAAAACTATGTTGTAAATGTTACTTTGTTGGCAATAAATACATATTTTTCCATTGGTAATAGGTTATTTAAGATGAGAGTTTTTTAATACTTTAAATTTTCTTAAAAAGTCATTTTTAATGAGGTAGGGGGCTACAACTGGGATACAAAGTAAATAACCTGTGATTAATATTTAAAAAATTAAAATTATTTTAAAAAAGAAAGAGAATAGGCAAATAAAATATAGCTAAATAAAATGTAATAAGATTAAAACAAAAAAAGTCATTTTTGTTTTCAATGTTACAAAAAATTTTTTGATAACCTGTTTAAGTGTCTGCTATTTATGAGGCAGTGTTTAAAAACCTATTTGTGTTTCAAAAGATAAAAATCAAGTCTTTTGTCCATTTGCAGTGGAATTAGAATCAAATAACACTAAATATAGGAAAAGCTTGCGAGCATCCAAAGAAGCCGTGCTAAAAGGCAAGTATAACTTTTCGTTGAGACGGTGACTTTTCTGAAAACATGCAAAATTGCCAGTGTTCTTTTACTGTTTCTTACACTGACTGACTACTCAAGAGCAGCTTTTAAAGTGTATCACGAATCACACATGCTTTACCACTCGCATATAAATTATTCAGCTGTTTCTACACTAGCGAGATGAGGACATAAGATTCAGGCCTGGGAAGGAACCTAGCATCATAGTTGGTACTTTATTGATCTTTACTTCTTTCCTTAGTTTAAATCTTTAGAGCTATGAAGTACTGTTTTTGAATTGAAAGCAAATTTAGCATAGAGGTTTTTCCGTGTTATTAGTAGTGTGAGTTGGTCACAGGATGCAGATAGTGATGGGCTTTGCATTATAGACACAAGTATTTTGTATACCGTGTTACTTCCATGAACTTGGAGTGTGAGTGAGATAACCTAATCTATTTTGACTAGTTTGCCTCATTATTTAATAGTCAGCTGTATATTTTAGGAAGGCATAATACTGATAGAATGCATACTCTTACATATGCTTGGGAAATTTGATTGTTCACAATTTGAGCTTTTTATTTCTAGTGGAACAATTGAACATGATTCTTTTTCATTTCTATCCTCCTTTATTAGGACAAATTACATAGTGTAAATTTTGCCATTTTAGAGTATACAGTTCAGTGGCATAAATACACCTACAGTGTTGTACAATCATCATCTCTATCCATTACCCATTCACTATAATCTTAACATGACATATTATATCTATTCAGACTGGCTTTCCATTTCCCTCTTTAACCCAGCCAGTGGCAAACTCTTCTGTTGTCATCTGTTTAATGTTTAATGTAGCATGCAAAGTAACTGCTTTCATTTTGGCATTTTCATACACACACACATATGGTGCTATAAAGCATGTGTGTGTATGTATTGTTGCTATTCATTCTCCTCTCTTGGCTGCTCTTCTTCATCCCCCATTTCCTTCTTTCTCAGTGCCCTTTTCAGCTTTCAAGTCATGTGTTCTCCATTACCATCTTTTCCCCTTCCTCATTTAAGACCTCATATTCCCCTTCCTAGTTTCATGACCTATATGTCCACTCATAAACATTTATGTTCAGCACATGAGAGGAGACATGAAGTATTTGTCTTTCTGCTTAGTTTGCTTAGTGGGTGGCCTTTAAGGTTTCAAAAGCCCAGGCCAAGCCCAATGTCTCAGTTCTGGAGTGTCTTGTGTGTCTGTCTCCTTCACTCTCCTACCCAGTCCCCTGGCTGCTGCCTATGGATCAGGAAGTAAAGATCTAGCTACTATTCCAGCAGCGTACCTGTCGGCTTCCTCCCTTTCGAAAAGTACTTTTATTAAGTAGATTGTTGTTTGTTCTTTTCTTCCTGTCTCTGGAAGGAGTTTGTACTCAACGTGATGAATTTCTTCTCATTTCTTTTTTGGTTGTCTTTTCCTCTCATGAAATAAATGTATACATTATTGTGGTCTTAGGATTGAAACTTTCTTCTTTCTCTGTGTATGGTTTCTCCTTCAAGAATTTACTTCAGTGCTGGCTTCGTTGTCGTAGTTTGTCTTTGTCTTAAAATATCTGTATTTCTTTGTCAATTTTAAAAGGTAACCTTTGCTGAATATAGCTGTCTTGGTTGTTTAACTTTCAGGAGTTGAAGTGTATCCTTCCATGCTTTCTTTTCTCTTAGGGTTGTTGATTACACTGGTGGTGTTCTGATACTTGTCTTTACAGGTGCATTGGCACATCTTGTAAGCTTTTGATGTTTTCTTGTTTTGTGGTGTTTTAACTTTTTTAAGTATTTTATACCTGTTTCATATGTTTGTGTGTAGATGTGTGCATGTTGTGTGTCAGGAGTGCATGTTTGCAGGAGTTCACTTACGTGTTTAGGGAGAGAGTGTACACGCGTATGTACTGCAGGCCAGAATTCAGCCTCACGTGTTATTACTCAAGATTCATCCACCTTGTTTTTTAGATAAGATTTCTTAGTGGGACCTAGAACCCACTGATTAAGCCAGGCCTAATGGCCAGCCAAACCCAGGAATCTGCTTGTCTCTACCTCTCCCTGGGATTATGAGCATACCTGGCTTTTTATATAGGTGCTAGGGATCAAACTCAGGTCCTTATAATTGTGTAGCAAACACTTTACTGACTGAGCTGTCTTCCCCAACCCTGCTTTGCAGTTTTGACAGCTTGACTTCTATGTCATAAAGACTTTGATATCTGGTCATATGTGTTACTATTTAGGCAGCCTGCTTCTGGGTTGCCTAGTAACCTATGGTGTCATCATGTGTCGCCCTTAGACGCACCTGGCAGGTGCAGTTCGGCTGCTCAGAGCTATAAATGGACCCCTGCCTCTTAACCTCTCTCTCTCTTGCACTCTTGTTCTTTCTTTCTCCTACTCTCTCCTTTTTCTCTGTCGGGCGCCCACTCACCTCCCCTCTCTCTCTCTTTCCCTCTCGCTATCTCCAGCCAATAAACCTCTTTCATTCAATATCTGTTGTGCACATCATCATTTCAATATATATGTGGGGTTTATCTTTGTTTTCTATTATTCTGACAAAACCCCATGACAAAGGCAACTTATAAATGAAAGCATCTTAATTGGGCTTATGGTTTCAGAGGTCTAGAGTCCATGGGGGCAAAGCAAAAGCATGGCAACAGGAACATGTGAAAGCTCACATCTACAAGCAGGAGATAGAGAACCCACTAGGTTTCTTTCCCAGTGGCATACTTCCTCCAAGACCACACTTCCAATCCTTCTCAGACAGTTCCACCACCAACTAGGGAACAATTATCTAAATATATGAGCCTATGGGATTAAGTTTCATTAGCCATTGCCTGTTCCCTATAGGCTTGTAGCCATATTTTAATCATAATGTAAAGCATCAGTACAACTTCAAAATTCCTTGTAATTTTTTACAGATTCTACACTGTTTAAAAATCAAAGATCTCTTTTGAAACTCAAGGCAGTCTTTTACATGTAACCCCTGTAAAATAAAAAAAAGCAAATCATATACTTGTAACATACAATTACAAGGAATAAATATTATCATTCCAAAGGAAAAGGTTCCAGACATAAGGAGAAAATGCTGGGCCAAAACAAGATGGAAATACAGCAGGGCATACTCCAAAATTCTATAACTTGTATCTGATGACAAAGGGTTTAGATGCCTTCACCCTTCCAGCCTTGCTGACTGCAGCACACTTACCTCTCCTAGGCTGGTTCCAATCCGCGGTGTGTCCTCGGCAGACATCCCACTCCTCTGTCACCTCTAATATCTCGGAGTCTCCAAAGCAACCTAAGCTTCGCCTTGACAGCTTCACAAAGTGGTCTCTCAGGACTTACATACAGGGAATCCTACCTCTCCTCCCCCCCCCCCCCCCCCCCCCCCCCCCCAGCACAAACACACATCTAGCCTCAGCCATTCGGCTTAACCTCAGAGGAAATATTCATCAATCCTTAGTGTATCTGAAAGATTCTAAAGTCTGAACCACGTGGACAATGCCACATTCAGCTGCCTGCTTGGGATGGTGCAAGTTTAATGCTTAGCTGGCTATGGTCTTGCCTCTCTTTACTCCAATGCAGATCAGGCTTCTTGCCTCTTACAAGACAAGCTTTGGTGCCAACATTCAATTTCCTGATACTTTTTTTCTCTTCAAACTGTTTTTTTTTTGTTTTGTTTTGTTTTGTTTTGTTTTGCTACGTGTGCTCTTTTTCATTGTAAACTTGCATCAGAGTGAACACTAATAACCATGTCACATAGTCAATATTAGGCTGTCTGAAATTGCCTTAGGCAAATTATTAGGACAAGGGCAAAAGATGGCTATATTCATTGCCAGACTATCAAAAGAATTTTTTCTAGCCCAGTTGCTAATAGTTTTCTCCTCTGAAAACCTCTTGAGCTGAGTTCCCCACAGTCTGAATAGCTCACAGCACTATCTTCCAAGCTCCTTCTAGGGTGGCCTATTAAGCTTTGTTTATAGCACTCAACTGCTTTTATAGCCCACATTCCTCCAAAAAGAAAAAAAAGAAAAGAAACTTGGTCAGGTCTGCTGCCGCATCGTCTTAGTTACTTTTCTATGGCTGAAACAGCATGACCAAGACTACTGATAAAGTGTTGATTGGTCAGAATGTT